AATGGACCATGCTACTCTCGGGTCGAATACATACCAATAATAGTTATGGGCTTAGACATATAATCCAACATTTATTAGACCTAGCAGTTCGCTGTAGGGAGCACCGATTTTGTTTGTCATGAAGAAGGATGGTTCACACCGGATGTGCATTGATTATAGGTAGTGGAACAAATTGACGGTGAAGAACCGTTACCCACTTTTGCGTATTGATGACCTCTTCGATTAGTTGCAAGGTGCATCTTGGTTCTCCAATATCGATTTGAGATCGGGGTATCATCGAATGAGGCTTAGAGAGGAGGATGTGGAGAAGACCGCTTTCCAGACTCGTTATGGTTATTACAAGTTCATGGTGATGCCGTTTGGGCTCACCAATACACCGAAAACATTCATGGATTTGATGAATCGAGTGTGCAGGCCGATGCTCGATCGTTCAGTTATTGTTTTCATTGATGATATCATGGTCTATTCCAAGACCAGAGAGCAGCATGAAGAGCACCTTCGAGAGCTCCTAAGAGTTTTGAGGCAGGATCAGCTATATGCCAAGTTCTTGAAGTGCGAGTTTTCGTTACGGGAGGTCCAGTTCTTAGGATACCTCGTTAAGCAGAACACGATTTTGGTCGACCCGACTAAGATTGAGGCTGTGATGCACTGGGAGGTTCAGAAGTTTTCCCTAGAGATCAGGAGTTTCTTGAGATTAGCAGGGTATTATCAGAGATTTATTCAGGACTTCTCCAAGATTGTTGTACCCCTCACCTGTCTGACGAGGTAGGGCGTGAATTTCCACTGGGGGCTTGAGCAGAATACTGCATTCGAGACCTTGAGGCGGAAGTTATGTGAGGCCCCAGTGTTGACCCTCCCTGAGGGTGTTGAGGATTTTGTGGTATTTTGTGATGCATCCATCACCGGTCTGGGGGAAGTTCTTATGCAGCGAGGGAGGGTTATTGCTTATGTTGCTCTATAGCTGAAGCTGCACGAGGTTCGTTATCCGACCCATGATTTGGAGTTGGGAGTAGTGGTGTTTGTTCTCAAGATTTGGCAGCATTATTTGTATGGGGTCCGGTGTAGTATCTACACGGACCACAAGAGTTTGAGATATCTCATGGATCAACCGAATCTGAATATGAGGCAACTCAGGTGGCTTGACGTGGTCAAGGATTATGACTGTGAGATTCTGTACCACCCGGGGAAACCGAATGTGGTCGCTGATGCTTTGAGCCGCAAGACGGCTAGTTCTTCTGATGGGAGCCTTTGTATGAGGATTTCGATTAATTCGCCATTGTTAGGTATGATTAGAGAGGCTCATGTTGCGGGAGTCAAGAAAGAAAATTGCAAACAGGAGCGACTCAGAGGTGAGATTGACAGGTTTTCTACCAACCGCAGTAGATTATTGACCCGATATGGTCGTGTATGCATAGCAGATTTTGGTGGAGTCAGATAGGATATGTTGAAAGCGGCACACAAGTCCAGTTTTTCGATACACTCGGGAGCTACCAAAATGTATCGATACTTGAGGCTTAGTTATTGGTGGCCGTGCATGAAGAGGGAGAAAGCCTGGTATGTCGTGCGGTGTTTGACGTGTCGGATAGTCAAATTCGAGCACCAGAGCCCTGATTGCAAACTTTATCCTTTGGAAGTTCCCATGTGCAAATAGGAACATATCACAATGGATTTCATCACCAAGTTGCCTTGGACAGCTAAGGGGTTTGATGCGACTTGGTTTTGCTGAACGTATCACCCTGGAAGAGTGTAATATGCTTCAAGAAGAGGGGAAAGATGGGGCCCCGGTATATTGGGCATTTTCAAGTGATTGTCGGGGTTGGCAAGGTAGCTTACATGCTGGATTTTTCTGAGGAGCTCAGTCGGATTCACAACATCTTCCACGTTTCGCAGCTTCACAAGTGTGTGGCTGATGAATCAGCGTTTGTTCCTTTGGATGATTTTCAGGTTGATGATCGCCTGAATTATATTGTGAGAATAGTGGCGATCTTGGATCATAAGACGAAGGCCTTGCGAAACAAGGTGGTGTCCATGGTAAAGGTTTAGTGGCAACATCAGAAGGGTTCCAAGTGGACTTGGGAACCCGAGGCAGAGATGTGGGGGCATCACCCTGAGTTGTTCACATTAACGGACTTCGAGGACGAAGTCTAGTTCAAGTGGGGGAGCTAACAACATCAATTTTTATGGTTAATTGGATGAGAGAATGCCTTGTGGAAAGTTTGAATGGTTGGTTTGATCGAGTAAGAGCTTATTATAATAAGTTGGTCTGAGTAGTCAGCACCACGTGGTGAATGTCACCACGACGTGGTGGATGGCTACTATGTGACTGTTTCGTCTTCTAGTCCCCACGACGTGGTTGGAGCTAACAAGGACGTGGCGACTGGCTAAGTTGACTTGTTGACTTTGACTTTTGACCAGGATTTGACTAAGTTTGACTTAAGGGTATTTTGGGTATTTTGAGTGGTATTTGTTATTGGTCATTCTTGATGTAAGGGTGACCGTTGGAGCTGACATTCCGAGCTGTACCCTATTCAAAGATCTTACTCAGATTGAGAGGTGAGTTTTCCTTACTATACTTGTGGGTCGAAGGCACCAATGCCGACCCACTGAGTTATGTACCCTGGTTTAGGGAGCGTTGCTATGTTGCATTGATCTGCTAGAACTAAGTTCTGGTATATAGGATGTTATTATGCGGTAGTGATCGATAGATATGCCTGTGAGTCTGTTGCCTGGCTGTATGATTCTCTATCTGTTAAATATATGTTATATGTTATATGTTATTTGTCGACATAGTATGGTTGGGTTGACACTGTACTGCTTCGTACGGTCAGTCAACAAACCCCGGACAATCCAACCGGGAGGTTGTGGGCAAGGGCAATCCAAACTGGAGGTTATGGGCCAGGATAATCCAACCAGAAGGTTGTGGACCCTGTACGTTATTTACAGGGCAATCCAACTGGGAGGTTGTGGACCCAGCATGCACTTTGTATATATGTTTGGTTGTGCTATGTGGTACTTTGGGGGAACTCAGTAAGCTTTGGTTTACGGTTTCAGTTTTATGTTTCAAGTACTTCAGATGATCGGGGCAAGGCGAATGTGTGATCATACATATCCTTTCATGATATGTTTTTGGAGATTTTATGAGACATTGATCCTAGGGATATTTTTATTTGTCACTTGATATGATATGTTCGGGTTGAAAACAATGGTTTCTTTTAATCTAAAAATAAACAATTTTATCGTGATTTTTGGAATGTTACAATTTTGATCTCTATCTCGACTCAAGGTCTCAACGTCTAAGGTTTTTCTTTATTTTCATATTGTTTTTTCTTTTACTCCTTTTGATTCCTATATACTTATAATCTTCCATGTAAAGTATGAAATTTAGGTATCATTGTTGAACATTATTAAAAAAAATCATCCTTTATTATTATTTTTGGTTATGCATATTTTTTTTCACAGTTTCACATAATCGTAGTTCATTTATTTGATCAAATAGATCATGTGATTGCTGACTCTTGACTCTTTATAGCTTTTAAGAATGTATGAGTGTATGACAATTGGAATGTAGGATAATTGAAATAAGTGATTTTTGTTTAATGTCTAACAAGTGTTTGGTAAAAAAACTCGGAAAACAAAATAATCAAAGTTTTGTTTAATGTGGTCTTAATATCATAACATAATGAGATGATGGTGTTATTTAAAGTGGTTTTTTTTTTTGAAAGAGATTGTTTAATGTGTTCTTGATTTCTTAACAGAATGAAATGTTTTGTTGCATAGGTGCCCCAAGTTTTTACCATTACCCTCCTATTCTTTTACTAATGTCATTACGTTGTATGATTTACTTTTCTTGATCATATAAAGGGAACATTTGTTTGCTTCTCAGGTGTATCACTCTACATTTATCGATGATGATGGAATTGTGAAAGCTTGTGGGTGTCCTTTACTTCCTTTAAAATGTCACATGAAAGAATTTGCTCGAATTTCATATACAACTAATATAATTAATGAAAGAGATTACATTCTTTAGGGCGCATGTGTTTACTTGAAATAGCTACCCACTTTCTTTGATTTGTTTGTTATAACATTCTACTTTCTTTTATTCTTATACAACATTGTACTTTAAATAAGCCCATGAGACTTTTGATGCTTTTATTTGTTCAATTATTTTATAAATTTATATAAGATACTTGATAACTTTTTTTTTCTCAAACTAATAGATTTTATTCAGCACAAAACAAAATAGAAGAGTAAATTGGTTATTTTTAGCATTCAGGATAATCAACCAGATATTTAATCAAACAACATGATTTTAGTCAAACAAAGATGTCAGAGTTTTTGACTGTAGTCAACAATTATCAAATAGCGTCATTATTTTTTATCTTTAATAAATAAAATTTAAAACTGCTTTTAAGTTCTAACATAATGTCCAATTATTTGTACATATTGTGATATTGAATAAATTTTCTTTATTATGTTGAGTTTGTCTTCTATGGAACTTTTTTTTAATATGCAACTCTACAAAGCTGAAGTCAAGGCCCACTTCGATGAATAAGTTGTCATGGTCAAACAAGGAGGCTAATACACAATTTGTTCACATATACGAATATCTATCAGCTGCCATCTTCCACTCTGATCGGCATAATCTGGTGATTTTTTCTCCACCAGTTCAACTCCTTCCTTCTTTCGATAAGGTAATTTTCTCGATTTCTTTTTCTCTTTTTCATTCATGTAATGTTTTCTATTAATTCTTCTATTCTCCTTGATCTCCCAACATGAATTTGTTCTGTGATATGATGCTTCGATTATATATATTTGATCGGTTTGTGGAATGATGTTGTATTAAGGAATAGTGACGTAATTCTATGTGTTTTCAAATTTACAGTTTTGAATTCGAAAACTGATCCGTTTGATTCAAAAAGTTATGGTATGTCGGTGTTTATTGAAACAATATATGAAGTCTAAGTGTGATTTCAATATTATTAGGGTTTATGATCATGTTTATTCCGATGAATCACATACTTTAAGAAGTAGTTGCTGAGATTATCTATTTAATTTGAAAATGTACTTTTATGTTTTGGTAATCCGCAGAGATCCAGTACGAACTGATTCTTCAGAGTTTGCAAACTTGAATTTTGTTTAACAAAAGCATGTTCGATTCATAACTTAGTCGCTGAGATGGCGATAAGGTGAAATTGAAAAGCTTCATTTTTTCTAACAAAATCTTGAATTTTGAAAAATTGAGCCAATTATAAAAAAGAAGTTGATGGTTTTGAATGTCCAAGAGGGTTTCTTGGGCCCAGCAGTTTCATTAATGTCCCTTTATCATTAGCTATGAATTTATACCATCAAATTAAGATTACGATTGAATATGTTATTTAATTTTATTAAATTATTTGTAACTCGGATAAACTCCGAAGATTAAAAAAGTGTCTTTTTTTTAGTTATCTTATTGCTGGACTTCATGATTGAAGTAGTGCTTTTTTTGTTCTTTTCTGAGTGGATTCTCATCTTTATATATACGTGTTATTATTTTAATTTATCCAAATGTGATTTTTGTATAAAATATGTTATTTTAAAGAAAAACTTTTGCGACTGAACGAAGCTCCTGAAAAATAATGGCAAGTCTCAATCCTCATTTCCATTTTTTTTTCATAGATGTCACGAAGAGATTGGAGTGAACTGCCAGTTCATTGTTTAGTCGAAATCTTGGAAAGAGTCGGAATCGAATCTCTTGTAGAGACTGTTCCTTTAGTCTGTAAATCTTGGTATGAAGCTACGTTCTACCCTCAATGCTGGCAACACCTCGTCTTTACTAAATTAACTTTTTTACGAAATTCCAAATGTTCAATCCCAAGACTGAAATCAGTAAAAGACTCGCGTTTTAATTTAAATTTTGGGGTGTCACGACATATCAATGATGTAGATGATTCTCTAGAAAAGTTTGTTCAGTTTGCAATCGGGCGTAGCCATGGACTCGTTTCCGAGGTTGTGTTTCACCCTGAATCGCGTTTGAAAGAAGGCCAAATTGCGAGGATTGCTCAACGGTAAGTTGATACACAGGGTCGGTCCTAAGAAATTAAATATCCTTAAAGATCCAGAACAGCGAGAAAAAGAGGACATTTATCGTTATTATAAGTTTTTATTTTTAAATAAAAATATATAATAATAATAAATTAGTCTATATACAACTGCTCAATTTGTCTCCCTCGACACCCCTCGTGTTGATACATGAATAAATTAAGTAGATGTGACAAAAATGGGTGAATTTTGTAATTGGTTAAATGAGATTAAACACCTAACGTTTCTGTATGTGTCATACCACAAATGAATTTTTATATATGCCCACTTAGTTTTTTTATGTGATATTTCCATTAAGTTTTTTAGTTTTATTTTTATTTTTATTTAAAAATAGGTTGATTTAATTTTTATATCTCTATTTTAAATGAAGAGAGAAATCATGATTACGATATAAAAATCAAATCATCTTGTTTTCAAGGACATGAATCAAGAACCTAAATGAAAATATCACCTAGATCCGTTTTACCCCAAATTAATTTTTAGTTTTTTTAATTATATTAAAATATAATATTTTATTATATCATTATCATTATATCAATAAAATAAGCATTTGTAGTACAATCAGTGGATTTGGAAACTTTAAGCATTAGAATAATTTTGATCCATTTTGACCAGCTTAGTTTATGGTAAATTTTGAATTACCAATATTTATCCATATATAAGAAAAAACTTAAAACATAATAAATGAGTCGAAATTGTCGGGAACCGTCATGACTACTACTAATTTTTTGTACTTTTTCATGTGTAGTTGCCCATCTTTAAAGCTCTTGGTGCTACCAAGCTATTTGAGCTATGTGATTAACTTTGAAGTCTCAGACTCGATCTGCAAGTGGAAAAGCTTGGAAGCTTTACATGTTGCATCTTTAATAGGATTGAAGAAAACCATTGCCAATATTAGTAAAAGCTGCCAAAACTTTAAGCATTTAAGTGTTAATGTTCCTCGACTCGATGGGATGTGGTGTTAGCCATCGCGTCCCATCTCCCAAATATAAAGATATTAGATTTACGGTTCTCGAAAATTGAAAGGAGTGATCTAGTTGTGATCCTAAAAGGGTGCCAGAAACTTGAGCACCTCGACATTAGTGGGTCTAAAGATGTAGCATACGAAGATGAGATACTAAACCTTGTACGTGCAATTCGTGTATTCAGGCACGGGGTTTTTTACTTGACGGAATAATACAATGATTGTAATTGTACTTTCATTGCTTATGTGTATCGTTGTTTGTAGATAAGAGGTCGACATGAAAAAGAAACTTGTAATCGTCAATAAATTAACATATTAATTTAATTTCTCTTCTCAAGATATTATATATATTATTGTTTGCGATGAGTGAAAATAGTGTGATGAACCTCAGCCCTTGGAATAGCTTCTAGATTCAATCTCAACCACTCAAACTCCCTATTTAGTATTTACACTTTTATAACTTCATCCCATAGTTTACAACATTTTCCGTCCTATGCCTATCCCTCCACCCCCACCCCCACCCCACGTTCTACTTCTCACACAATTGATCCGCACATCCATGATCTCCCCATATTTTCTCTCTTACATGCACATATGTGTGTTTTCACGTGGGAGCTTTTTTTTATCAATGTACTACAAGAAATAATGTTATGTTTTTATTAAAATATTATTTTCTAAAACCCAAGATTAGCAATGGAAGCATTCTAACTTTAAATAAAATAAACAAGTTTTTTTCCCAGGGTCATCTTGCAAAGATCGGAAAGAAAAATAGAACCATAGATGGAAAAGGGTTAACAACATTTCTAGTTTTATGGGTCCTCAAGGGGAGACTTGAATGTTGATGTAGTATGTATAGTAGAACTCTTCGTTAGATAGAAACACTACAATAGTTCAACTTGATGAAGATTTTAGTCAAAACCCTTCAAGACAAGACCAAGTGATTGCTTAAAGAGAGTAAGAAAGCAAGTAAATTCTAACACCTTTTGCAAGAGAGAAAGTCTCAGAGAGTGTAGCAAGTTGACGGTTAAACAGGTAAGAAGAAAAAGATGCATGAAAGCCTTTAACATGAAATATTTACCCATTAGGTCTTAACCTTTAAGACCTACCATGCTCCTATCACCCATGCTTAATCATATTGTACATACATGCCTCTAAAGGGAGTGTTCTTTTGATTAAAATAACTAAAGTCCAATCCCTCAATCTCTTTGACTAGCTCTCATTCTAACAAGAAAAAGAAGACAAAATTGTATAAAATCATATACTCTTTTATAAGGTATAGAGTTTTAACCTTTTAGCTAAAAGACAAAAGTCCTTATAGACCAAAAGAATGTAGATTACTTAATAAATCATATCTTATGATATATTATGTTACTTGCTATTGAAAATTTTTATTTTCATAAAAAAAATAATTCTCAATTATTAAAAAGACTTACAAATATTTATCAAGAATCAAATTCTTAAAATAATAAATTGTATCAAGTTGTTGTTAGTGTGACCCTTTAAAATCAAACGTTACTAACAATATCATTTTATTATGATTCTTGAGCACAAAGATCTTTAAATATCCCACTTACACAAGAATCATAATAGATTTACATAGTGGGTAGTGAACATCTAGCAACATTTCACTGCCCCCAATAACATATGACTTTGTGACATTCTGTCAACATCCAATTCCCAAAAAAGCTCAAAGCTATAATTGGTGTATAAGAAAAGTTATCGTTTAACTCTTTTTCACAAATATCATGTTGAACATGAGATACAAATCGCAATTAATCTCATGAAGAGTTCCACTTTTGGTAAGGCGCCTTGGATGTTTAACTCTCAATACATAAGAGGAACAAATATCATGTCGACTACATATGCCTCTCGTATGGTTCATATTATACCTGATAATAGCCTTTATAATTTCTTGTTTAAATAGCATCATTTGACTACATTAAAGCACAACATTCCCCACAGTTAAATCCCAAATATGCATCTTAGGTATTAAGGATACAACGATATTACGTTTATCAAGTATCATTCATGATAATTATCAATGAAGTGACATTGAATAGGTCATATCTAATACTTGATCCCCAACAAGTACCTATGAACCTGGTTACAACAGTTTGTGAACCAATCCAATTCATATTAGTCTTACTTCATTATTGTCCCCATAATAATGATCAACTATGGATTTTAGAGTGTCTAAATACTCAAGGATTAAACGTGTTAATAAACAATACATCAACTATGTAATAAAAAGATCTNNNNACACACACACACACACACACACATATATATATATATATATATATATATATATATATATATATATATAAATCTTTAAAATAGTTGTTTTTATACAATATTCCTACATTCAATACTAAAACACATATCAAATCCAATCACTAGAATTTTGAAGTCCAATCCCTCTAGCATGATCTTGATGTTTTTCCTAGAGAAGGATCTTTGTGAATGGGTCTGCCAGGTTTTGATCAGTTTGTACTTTACGAATACTTATTTCACCTCTTCCAACTTCATATCGAATGTAGCTGAATCTTTAGTTAATGTGCACTATCTTCTATTGTGATATGGGTTCTTTGGCCAAAGCAATACCACCCTCATTGTCACAAAAGATCATTAGGGGATCCTGAATGGAAGGAACAACCCCTAGACCTCAAATAAATTTCTTTATCTAAGCAACTTCCTTTACAACTTCCGAAGCAGCAACATATTCTGACTCTATATTGGATTTACCTTTAACACGCTGCTTAGAAATCTTTCATGATACTACACCTCCACTGATAATAAAGACATATCCTGATTGTGAGTTACAATCATCTCGATCTGTTTGGAGAGAAGCATCTGTATAACAATTTATACTTAGATCTTCTTCCACGCCTCTATAGATGAGGAACATATCCTTAGTTCATTTTAAGTACTTCAGATTGTTCTTCACAACCATCCAATGTCTGTCTCCTGAATTTTGTTGGTACCTACTCGTCATGCTCAAAGTACATGATACATCAGATCTAGTATAATGCAAGGCATACATGTTGGATCCAATAACCGAATCATATCGAACCTCACTCATTTTGTCTAGCTCAAATCTTGTGCCAGGAGTTTGAAATGAAATTAATATTGCCACCTTCACTATTGGTACCAAGTATGATCTATCTCTATGGATCTTTATACCAAGAACATATGCTGCCTCACCTAGATCCTTCATTGAAAAAAAACTTTCCAAGCCAAGACTTTACACCTTGCAAATTCAGAATGTGATTTCCCGTGATAAGTATTTTAGACAAAAAGTATTGGACATGACTAGCATTAAGATCACCTCATGGATCGCTATCTTGAGTGTTACTTGATAAAAGGTACTATCTTTGTATCCTTAATACCTAAGATGCCTATTGGGACTCAAATTTAAGGAGCACTATACTTTTTATGGTTAAAAGTTGTTCTTTGACAATCCAATTATAAAGTCCATTATATGGTGTGGCATGAACTATACAAGAGGCGTATGTAGTCAAGATGAAAATTTTCCTCTTATGTGTTGAAAGCTTGAAATCTATCATGCGTTACGCAAAGTTGAACACCAAATGAGATTGATTGCGATCAAAGTCTCATGGTCAACAAGATGTTAGTAAGAAATAAATAACATATAAACTTACTTCCACATAAATTGTAGCTTTAAGTTTTTGGAAATTAGATGTTGATGACTAGCACATTGTCCTGTGTTATTAGGGGCAGTGAAATGTTGCTAGACTGTTGGAACCTGAAAGTGAACCTCTAGCAATCCTAAGTCCAAGTAATAATTCCGGAGTCAGTATCAAGTTACGAAGTGAAGAGCAGTCCGAAAGTTGTCTGGACTTGGAGAGAAGTTGATTAGAAGATCAGGAGTGAAGACATTCCGGAATGGGCTTCATGCCCGGAATGTGTGGTGATCCGGAGAAGTTGTTTTGTCTCTTTTTGTATTAATTACTTTTGTCTCTTAGCATGATTAGACATTTCATAGGACTTAGTCTGTTTTTCAATTTGGACAATCAGAATGTAAGAATTGCTCCCTTTATCCGGTCCTATGTACGTTTAGTGCTTTGTACCATTTTTCACTTACTCCTATTTAAAGGAGCTTTCAATGAAATGTTCAGAGACGGAT